CTCCTGTCCCCTCCCCTCCTCTCCTCCTCTCTCTCTATCCCACCCTGAGGTGTGCCAGGAGGAAGAGCTCACAAGGACACAACAAGAGTTCGCATCCATGGGCCTCACCAAAACCGAGTTCGCTAGACCCCTGATCTGGAACTCGCAGGCTCCAGAAAATGAATCTGCTGTTCAAGCAATGTGCTTATGCTGTTCATGGAAGCCTGAGGAGAACCATAACGGATGTGCATATGGATTGGAAGTGCAAAAAGGAACAGGAAGGATTATAGAAAATATGCGCTTTAAAAGCTACACAGGGCACCACCAGCGGTACCTTCTGCAGATTTTGCAGGGCAGCGGAAGAACACAGTCCGATGACCTTGAGTTTGAGGAGGGATTGGGAAGATATGGGTAGCCAGTGCGCAGTCTGTCGGTGTATCTGGACCCGTAAACTGCTGATTATGAAGAGGCACAGGAAACCTGGTGCCTTGATACTAAATGGCGTAAGTACACACTGATTCCAGCTGCCCTCCAGAGCAGCTCTCTCACGAAAATGAGTCAGAGAGGTCACACTTTCGTAATTAGAGCCCTACTTTGGAATGCCTGCTTCCTCCATGTCTGCGAGAGGGTAACAAAAAAACTTTTAAAACGTTTCACCTTAGAACTGCAGTACATCACTTCCACTCCGCTCCCCTAACCCTGCCCAATGAAGAAGCAATGCATATCTTATGTTGTAATCACTACCATACAAGATATCACATCTCTGTAAGAGATGTCCCCAAGGGGGAAAGGAGAAAACAAACAATCAGAAAGGGCAACAACTGCCTAAATATTTCAGTATCCCAAAGCCGGGTGTCAACCTCTAAAAAGCAAGCTCTTTCATGAGTATTGTTCTTCTCCAGGGATGCACCCTTGGTTTGAATCCATTTTTAAAAATCATGAGACGGATGTCAGACCTAGGCATGAGTGTGATTCCTCCGGCCACAAGAATTGTTTGAATGTGCTCACTAAGAATCAGTTTCCTGAGCCCTAACCCAGATATAATACAGAAAAGTAAATAAAACTTGTGGTCTGTGACAACATTCCCAACCAATAATGCTCACCTGAGTTCCCGAGGAGCTGGTAACACCACGTAAGTCTAGATGTGACATCACTTCTCCCTCAAGGAAGATGTCCTGAAAGGAAGATATCCTGAAATCAGTCAGGTCTATTTCTTTAATGTTTTTTGGTTGATTATAATATACACCTCTGGAGGAAACCACTGAACTAATGGTTCACAAATTAACCCATGTGATAGAGTTCGCAGAGCACACACAATTACCTGTGGAGAGTAAATGTTTCCTCTTACATGAGAACACAGAACCTTGATAAAGAGCGAAGTAAGAGATACAGTCGATGATAAGCAACAGGGAGGCAGACTGCGGAGGTGGGAAGGAGCAGGGGAGGGAGGGGAGGGAGGGGAAGTAAATTGCTCATATGTAGTGTGTACGTGTAACCCGTTCCCAACAGTGAGGGCAGTGACCACGTACCACATACACATATGTCACTAAAAAAGACAGGCTAAAAAGTTCATTTCACAAAAACCTTAAAATATTGAAAGCTAAACAGAAATTAAAAGCTCAAAGGAGTCTGTTTCATAGCTTTTGAGTTTGGCTAGTTACTTATTTTCTCTACCCTTTTCCTCTATTAAACAAAGGTAATTAGAATACAAAACTTACGCGCTAATCGTGATTATTACGTATGATAAGTAAAGCACTAAGCACAATGCGTAGCACCAAGCGTTTGGTAGATGCTTGCTATTGAATTATCACTATTGTTTCTGATGGGGTAAGTGAGGTGAAGCGGCAGAAATGAGGGAGAAACCTTTAAAGCCACACCTCTGCACAGTCTTTAAAAGGTCTTTCGGTAAAGGGAGGGACATAGGAGATCTGGAGACGAGGGAGAGGGAAAGAGCGGGAGAGGAATGGCAATTAAAGGAAATACGCTGAGTGTACGCAACCGCTCCCAAAGACAAATGCCAACGCTGTGTCCTAAAACACACGCTAATAAATTCTTTATGAGGCAGGTCGTCTGAAGTCAGAAGACCAAGTTTAAATCTAAATTCTGCCATTAGTAAAACCAGGGACAATTTATTAAAAATCTTTACCACTATTCTGCAGTCTGACAAAAATATACTTAAAAAAAAGACAAAATGAGATGATATGTGTAAAATATTTAAGATGGCGCCTCATCCTCCATGGAATATTATAATTATGAGGCAATAAGTCATTCAGCAATTCTTCACAAAATACCATTAGCAGATCTATTACAAAGTGAAATGCATGAAAATATGCTGACTTTCTTGGAATACTCAAGCATATAAATGGTGATTCTTCAATCAGTAAATGTTTAAATATTTATAAATAAATTCTAGTAAGAGACACAGCCACTAATGCCCTTAAAATACACCCCCTTATTCCAAACACAGTTACTGCCACTTTCTGAAGCAGTTCTGAAATGTCCTCGTTCGTGCTTTTACAAAGTGTGATCAAGGGGCTGGGGATTTAGCTCAGCGGCACAGCGCCTGCCTGGCAAGCATCACCGTCGATTCCCGGTACCGGAAAAAAAAACTAAAAAAAAAAAAAAAAAGTGATCAAAACTCAGTGAGAGTCATCTAAATGAAGGAAGCTCACAAAGATATCACAGCGCGTCCTCGTGTGCTTGATCCACCTGACTGAGAACCGTGAGACCGCTGGCTATTCCCAAAAGCCGTGACCACGGCAGGCAAAAGCTTCCCACTGATCCGGAGCATTGCGGCAGCCACAACAGCGCAGCTAAAAGCACGAAGGACAAATGCTTCAGACCGTGGCAAGAACGCCTGGGTGGGGACGCGCAGGGGAATTAATAACTGTGTGTTTTCCAGGGGATAATCTTTCTTTGACCACGCCCCATCGTTCCTCTGCTGGGGAAGAGTCCTGGGTGCCATGGAATGTATTTGTTCTTACATTCCATAAGCACGAGTTTAAAAATTAACAGCCTTAAGTTCAACAGAGACTGGACACCGAGGAAGAAGCTGCGTGGCTGCCTCAGGGGCCAGCAGCGTCTGAGCTGCAGGCCAACGGCAAGCGGTTTCCGCCAGAACCAGGATTACAACCTAGATCAAGATCTGCAGTTTGTTTCTTGTTCGGGAATCAGAACGAGTCTCATAAAAATAGACACATGAGCGACACAAGCTTACATAGCACATCCTGAGGCCTGGAGTCCATCTGAATAGCTGCCCAAAGTTGGTGTAAACCTGGTTTTAAATGACTGCTAAATTGCCTGTCACCTGGAGTACTTGGCAGGTTTTTGTATGTTTACATTCGTCTCTGTAGTCACTAATATAAAATAGTCATATTGTGTTCTGGATTTTCACTTTAATATTTCCCCTAAATATTCTTTCAATTCTTGACATGATAGAAATGCTCAGAAAGTCATATAAGCAAAATCATTCATCAAAATGGTCAGTTTTCAGTGGAATCGAAGCAATTTCTTTGAAAGTATTTCTGTAGTCCAGGTATATTTGATCAATAAAAACAAGTCCATATTTAATAGCAAAGTGATAAAATGATCTCCCAAACGCTACATGTCTAGGTTAATGTACTCGGGGCAGCCATCACCGCTGTGTAAGACAGGGAACGTCCTACCCCATTTTCCTCGGCTTACCTCGGAGCAGCTTTCTTTCAGGGCTGGAGGTTTGGGCACGTGTTGAGTCCTGCTGGTCCCTTTCACAGAACTGCCCTCTGCTTTGGTTTCATCTGGATTAACCTCCTTTATGAACCCGTGGGCCACGTCCAAAATCCTGGATAACACTTGAGATCTGGCCTATTAGGAAAGGGAAAGTGTGACCGAACATCCCAGCAGACATACATGAGAGTCAGCCTAAGTAATTTATAAACTTTAAGTCAAATTCTTGGCATTCTGTGATCCACAAAATTCAATGAATTCCAATTAATATTTCAACAATCAGATTGTCGTTTTCACTGGCCAGTGTAATAGTGCCAGCTGCCGTCTCTGAGGGCTCTTACTTGGACTGGTGCCATTCTAAACCTTTTGAGAACATTGTATCATTTAACCCTCGGGATAGCTCAGTGTAACTTTGTACCTCTTTATCAGAAGTACAGAAACTAAAGCTTGGGGTGTTTTACAAGCTGGTCACGTAATGAGTGGGTGACGGGGCAGGAAAGTGACCCCAGCTACAATTCTGACTCACGGCGTTTCCACTATGCTGATCCCGCATGTCGATATTCTGTGCACAAAGCTGCTATCCCCTGGGACCCTGAACAAGCAGCAGTGAGTATTCCTTAGTGATAAGAGTTTGGTATAAATCTGGACTTAAAAGTGTACACTGTCCAAACGTGTCTCCGAAAGTGCTGCATGCACGGAGCGCGCGTCAGCTCCAGCCGGTCCTCACTGTCGCGTTTGCTCCGAAGCGTCGCTTGCAGGAGGGTCTGTCCCCTTCCATCGTCTCTGTCGGGCAGTTGTCAGCTTCTCCTTGAGTCTCGCCAAGGTGTTCCCTGGGGTCCAGAAGCCCGTTCCTGAGCCTCCCCCTCCTAACGTTAGGAATCATCCTCCCTTGCTGGGATTTAACCTGCTGAGAAGCTCCTCACCAACACCAGGCGAATTTTGCATCATTTCTGGCTTCTCTATAACCCATCCAAACACATAAGCTCCCAAAAGAAAAACTCATATTTAAAAAGAGAAAGTTTTACATGGCTGCCATACCACCTAACAAATAGTGTGTGGTAAAAGTGAATTCGAGGCAGAAGGAGAAGTGTTGCATAGTTAGTAAATAACTGAGAAAGATTATTTTAAAAAATTATTTTGGACGTGCTCAGAAGGGCTGCTGAGGAGCAGGCAGACCTCGCGAAGACCCGGTTCTCCACAAGGTCTCTGCACAGCGCCTGTTCTGATCTGCCTGAGGACAGCACCTGAGCTGGAACTAAAATCCGCGGGGAAGAGCCAGCAGCATCCAAGGCTGTCTGAGAACCCGGCATTAGGACGGTACGAAATACGTAGGGCTTTGTGTTAGCAAATGTCTTCAAGACAGAAAAAAATACAGCAAGGATCTGAAGTAAGTATTTTGTACTCTTATGCATGTACATTTATTTCACAGGTTTCATCTAGTTACCAATTTAAATAGCCACAATCGCACTGAAACTTTCCAGTTATGACCTTTTGAAAATCTATTAAAATTCTCTAGAGTCTGACTCTGGAAAAAAAATATCAGTGAATATCAACCTAACCAGTGATGTTCAAGTATGAGACTGAGTTAATAAAATACCCATGAAATGTGATAAACATGATCTATGTACATATATTGCTATCCACACCGTGTACAGACCTATATTGTCTGCTCCAAAATTGCCTTATTATAAAGCACAGTAGAGCAGTATAAGCCTGATTTCAAATTACTTAAAAAGGTATTAATTTCAAAGGCACTTACAATGTTGTTTTAATTTTATATTTACAATATATCAAAATCAAGAGTATGACTTTTATATGGAGTTCGTAAGATAGGAATTATCAAGTGTATGTTTATTTAAATAACACAAAACAAAGATTATTCCTTTCCTAAATTAATCCTGCTATTACTATTTCAACAAATTTACAACATTTTTGGGAAGTATAGTTTTAAAAACTTGGAAATGGCAAAAACTCACACTTATTTCTAAAAATACAATGAACTTTATAAATATTTCATAAAATTAAATTTTATATCTGAATATTTTAAGCCCTGCTAATTTAAGAGATGACTGAAATAAATAAAATGCCAATAAATAGGTATGTTTTTTCCTAGGACATATCACATTTACTTATTACTTTTCTCCACTTTAAGACTGTACATTTATGTTTTATTTCTCTTAATTGTAAGACAGTTATACAAAAGGTCATAAACTTAGGATTCCCACTATATGGAGAAGAATTTGAAATTCAGAATGCGCAGGTCAGAGTCAAGTGGCCATAAATTGTTGGGGCTGAATTATATTCAAGTCTTCCTTCTTCTAGTCTAACTCCTCTTCCCTAATAAATTCACATTAGCCTACATTATATAAAACATGAACTTTACCTGTAGTTTCCTGAAACTGAACATACTAAATGTTACATCTAATAGATTTGGATATTGTTCCTTTCTTTGAAAAAAACCCACAAAACTATAATTCTGTGCACCATTGCCTATCCAATAATAAGTGATTGAGTTGTTTTATTTTGTTTATTCCTATTCATTTTTATATTTCACCAAGTACATGAAACTAAATTACAGTCACAACACATTAAATTGTAAGACTTGGAGGTTCCTCCTAATTCATATACAGAAATCCCCACAGCTAACAGTCATTAATAGTTGAGACCATATTCCTGATAACTTTTGTTTGTACTTAAAATATCTAGATTTGCAACACACACAAAATTTTCACTTACTATTATTAAGTAATAACCAATGAACAGAACTGTGTTAGATTATTTAAAATAAATGTTTTAAGTATAACATGTACCATACATTAATAAAATATCCTTGAATTTTAAAACTCAGGTCAAAGAATTTTCATCTGCTAAATACGAAAATATACATATAGCAGTGCTAATGCGTGCCAGCAACAGGAAAAAGGGGTTGGAAATGTATAAAATTACCTGAAAAATTGTTCTACATCTTAAAAATATTTTAAAATCAAAGTAAAACAGCTTCCAGGGCGCAGAGTAAATCACATATTTCGCTGTGGGGTAGAAGCTTAAAATAGAGCCAAAGAATGTGATTTACTGCCAGCATCTCCTGATTCCCCTACAGCTCTCACTGCACTGTGTGATGCGAGGATTTCATCTCGGAACTGTTCTAAATTCTTACCTGAACTTTTTTCTTCCCCTTAGAATGATATTATCTTTCAAATTACACTCTAGAAGAATTCGTCACTCTGACAATGTATCATTAATCAAAGTAAAGAGGGTTGATATTTTATAGCATTTTGGAATAGATGACACCTTGTGAAAGTTAAGGTCTAAGAGGCAAAGTTTTCGTTGAGTTAGAAAGAAATGATGTACTTTATGGCAGTGTCAGTGCTTCAGATTTCTAACTATCGTCAGCACCCGCATCCCTGCCTATCCAGGAGTAAACGTGAACGACCATGCTGACGCCGCCGTGCTTCCTTCTGTGACCCACCCGGCTCCACCTCAAGGCAGTTCACCCAGGGCTTACAGACACATCACCCCGCAAGTCTGAAACAAGTGAACATGTCTCCTTCCATAGTGTTAACTTCCACTGATTCATGAAAAACTGAACATCCTATGTCTACAGAAGAATTACTGCATTTGTATTTTCTAGCAAAATAGAAATAAAGGCAGGGATAAGATACACCAATGTACAGAGAAAGAGAGAGGAAAATGCATTCTGGAACAACTTGTGTAAATCTATTGGTGTGATACTGTATATGGTTGGGATTTAGATAACTTTAAAACGTTGTTTAGGAAGATTAAATTCTATACTAAATGTATGAAGTAATATACGATTATAATGTTTTCATGTATCTGGTAAAAATGAATTTAAATTTAATAACAAAAAGTAAAATAAATTTATTGAAAATTTAAAATTATTTATATGGAAATACTTTGCTCCCTTTTAATAAACCGGGCTTTTAACAAAACACTTCCTTTGTGAAATATTTTCTCCAGTTCAGTTTCTTGTTTCACTGATGTCCTTCACTCACAGGGAACTGGTAAATAGGGGGACAGATAACATCTGTATAACTCTAGAGTTGTACTAGTCTTACAGTATTTTCTCTCAACACATTACAGTTTATCAGTGATTAGACACACGCGTTCTTACCAATAAACCCAAATCTTCATAACACAAAAATACCATAAGAAAAAAGTTTAAAATATATAAGTAACTCCTTATAGTACAAGTTCTGTTTTGATGGCCTAAACAATCACACATTCCCTGCATTAAGCTTAGCTAGAAGAACTACAGGTGTAGATGAAGGATCTGCAAGACATTTCTGAAATTAAAATAATGGGTTAACAAAGCACGTTCTTCTTTATTTTAAAGAGAAAAAGAAGGAAAATAGCAATAAAATAGAACAGAGCTTCACATCTGGTTAGCAGGAGAGTAACAATGACTAATGCATTGCACATTGTCCATAGCAGCCACTCAGAGCAAAAGATAGAAGCGTGAAGTACTGCACAAATTACATTAGCAATAACCTTTCTTCTCAGTAAGAGAAATTAGTTACATGACTATCGTGCATGTGTGCGTGTGCGTGTGTGTGCGCGTGCATGTGTGTGTGTGTGTTTTCCCTTGTGTTTCTTCCCCTTTACTCCATCACTTTCACTTTTCTTTTGGACAGCTTCTTCCCAACTCATAGTATCTACCGTACATTTTGCATCTCATTTGCGCTTCCAGTATCTCACACCAGTGAGACAATGTTTACACATGTGGGTCTGACTCACTTCACTTTTGAGTATGGTCTTGAGTTGCATCCATTTACCTATAAAAGTCTCCAGTGTATCCTTCTTTATGGCTGAGTCTACTCCATTATATAAAAACACACATCATTTGTATCCATTACTTTGTTGACTGGCATTTAGGCTGCTCCAAAGATTTAGCTATTACAGATTGTGTTACTATAAACATGGGTGCACATGTATCACTGTGGTATGATGTGAAGATACACAGAAGGGGAATAGCTGGGTTGAATGGAACCTCTAATTCTAGGTTTTTGAGGAATCTCCACGCTGATTTCCACAGTGGTTGCCCCACTCTACACTGCCATCAACAGTGGAGAAGGGTTCCTTTTTCCCCAAAGCCCCTCCAGTATTTGTTATTGGCTGAT